TGACATCAAAGTACGACCAATAATCTCCGGTTGTGGTGGTCCTGCCGATAAAGTCTCCTGGCTCATACAAATGATATGCAACCCTCTCCTGCAGTTCGTGAAAGCACATCTTAGAAGCACTCAACACCTATTGAATAATCTACGAAGCATTAAGAATGGAGAGCTGAAGAACAAGCTCCTGTTCAGTCTAGATGTGGTTTCCTTGTATCCAAGCGTAGATAACGACGCAGCAATTGATACCTTACGTTTATATCTAGAGAAAGAAAAGAACAATCTCCAACTTTATCAATTTTCGGTATCTGACATCATTCTACTCACCAAAGCTATCTTCGAAAAGAACTGTCTCTCTTGGAAACGATCTTATTATCAACAGCGTCGAGGTCTGGCTATGAGAAACCGGTTAGCCCTAATACTCGCTATACTCTTCATGGACAGAATAGAAAACCAAGCAATCTATTCCGACCAGGCTCTTTCCCTTCCCTTGTATTATCGATATATTGATGATTGTATTACACCTGCTAGCGGTCCAGATGAAGCTGTAAAGATCCAAGACAAGCTTAACTCACAAGACCCATCAATACGATTCGAAATCGAGTTGCCAGGTGAAGATGGATTCCTCCCATTCCTCAACACAAAAGTCAAGGTGAACGAATCTGGAACAGTGGAGACGGGATGGCATACAAAATCGGCAAACAAAGGAATAATGTTGAATGCAAAATCACACCACCCAGAACAAATCAAACGGGCCGCTATCGGTAATACCATCAAGACATATACTTCCATATGTTCAACCGACGCCTTGTTTGAAGAAGCTGAACGGAAGTTTGAAAGAAGAGCGAGACGAAACGGCTATAGCAACAACTATATAAAAAAAGTCCAGACAACAAAACGAAAACTGCCAAAATCGAAAGTCGAACCTCTTCCCACATTCACAATTCCATTCATTTCCAGAAGCTTTACGACTGACATCCGAAGAGCGGCCCAGAGTTCAAACCTCAATGTCAGAATAGTTGAAAGACCACAAAGCTCGCTTAAACAACTCCTCGTAGAATCGCGACCTTACGATAAAGTATGCACAGACACCTCTAAATGCCCAATCTGCAGCAACTCAAATGCTCCCGTTCAGTGTACACAGAAAGATGTCGTGTATCAAATCAACTGTGACCTTTGTGGAGCAACGTACGTAGGCGAGACAGGCAGACCATTGGTGGTTCGATACCAAGAACATTTTCGTTCCGCAGCAAACCCGAAAGCAAAGTCCTATAAAAACATGGCTTTCTCGAAACACTACCTCGACCAACATTACGGACAAAAACCGAAACTGTCTGTTAAGATTTTAAAAAGAACAAAAGGATCTGTAGAACGGAAAATTACCGAAGCATTATTCATCCAAAAGCTTAATCCAGACTTGAATGGAAAATACGAACAGTTAAATGTCTTAGATTTCGTAGTTTAAACATTTAAGACAGAATTAACAATTTCTAATTTTTATTAGAATTAATCGGACACGTGCACGTAATTTATATGCTTACGCAATTTCGCACGCGCGAATAACGGTCGCAATTTAACGTTTATGCATGCGCATGTTAGTTTAAATTCAAAGTGTAATCCTACTACCTGAAGATGGAGTAAATCTCCGAAACGTCGTTTGTTAATGAAATAAACATTTAAAAAAAGTCTTACTGTGGTCTATATATTGAACACAAAATATACTATTAACATGAGACTTAGGGAAAGTTCGTTCCTAAACATTTTGAAAAATTACAACTAATTATATTCAGCCACCTAACCAATGAAAACCGCTTTAATGGCTAGTTAAAAATATATTGGGTGCAGCTAATCTACTGTCGTTGGCTAGTCGAAGGTATAACTCCTAGTTTACACTCTACTGGCGACACATGGCAAAATCAATTTAATGCTAAAAGGTTACAAATTCAAACACTTTTAAAGGATCTTTAGTATGGTAAACTTGAGAACATAATAACTATTGACAACATAATATTTTTTGTTCCAATCGATCCGACGACACTTCACAGTGAACAAACTTTTAAACTTGTTTAAAGATGTTAGATGCGAAACCAGGATTCATATTCACATTCAGAGTTTCAAACGTTCATTGGTTAAAAATATTTACTTGGACGAGCTTTCGACTGCCAGTCTGCAGTCTTCGACGGGTAGATTAAAGTGAATGATGTGATATTTACAGTGGTTTACATATACTGACACATATACAATATACATATACTGACACAACGTACAATTATTGACAGTTCCGCCTACGTATAAGATTAATGACTATTCAGATTGAAAATAATTTAAGCATAATAAGTAAAATAATGCATAATAAGTAAAATAATTTTTTAAACTTGTGTCTAAAATTAATTTGATTTGGAAAACTCTACATTAGCACTTGTCACATCTGACGAGAAAATTATTGCGCGTCTTCCAACTTCTCTTCCGTCAGCTACGCGACCAAATTTAAGCCATTGCGTTGCCCGCCAGTAATGTGTAAACCTAATTTCAAATATTAACAAGAACCGTCCAAACATTTGTGTTGTCACTGTTTTGTCAGTTTCTTAATAATCCATTGTCATAGTCCTCCAGAAGTACTTGCAGGCCTAGATGTCCCCTCATAATGCATATTAACCATCAAAGGAAGTAACAATGCTTGATCAGCATATGGTCTATCATCAATCCTATGGCTGATCAAACGTGAAACAAACCGTCGAGCATCAGGGTCATCAAGGGTGTCCATGTTAACTGGATTACCATTCATAATATGTGTCATACGATCATACAAAGTGGAGCCGAAGGGATGTCCACCTTTGGTTAAAATGAAGAAAACAATCATACCTGCAGGTTGAATATCGGATTTCTTTTTAAAACGTCCTTTACCTACTTGGTTTATGGTCGCGATAACTTCAGCAGCCATCCAGCCTCCCGTTCCTTTCGCATCGGTATGAGCTGTGGTTTCGTCCTCGTTTAGAACGGTACTTATTCCAAAGTCTGCCAATCGCATGTGACCCTCGACATCGACCAGGATATTTGATGGTTTGAGATCTCTATGCAAAATTCCTTGATTATGAAGACATTTAAGTCCAGTTAACATTTCTTTGATCATTCTTCGACCGTGTATTCGTAGATGTTGAATATTTTGAGAATCCACATGTTCATCCAATGTTTCTTCACAGAGATCAACAATCAGGTACATGAAGGTAATGTCCTTAAGAAAATGGCGATAACTCACTATAAATGGTGATTTCTTGGTGTTGATGAGACTCAGGATGTTTTTCTCATTTTCTGCTGCATTTTCACACGATTCAACCAGCATCCGCTTTACAGCCACTTCACTGCCATCTTTCAAAATACCAACAAAAACGGACGTGCCCATAGAACCTTTCCCTAGTGAGAAACGTTTGTCCCCGGAAAAATTCTTTAACGGTAGTCCAACCTACAGTAAAAACTATTCAGTGAGATTGAGGGAGTGTTAGATGGCACAGTCTAATTTACATTATTCTGAAAGCGCCAGAACACAATAATTTGGTTTACTTCCTGCAAACCGGCAACCAGCCTAGAATTTCTGGTTATCTTAATTTCCATAACTGAAAGTGATATGCTGATGTGAAACATGGTATTATTAGTACACTTGCTAAAATACCTGTATGAAGGTGAGTTTGATAGTGGAAATGGATTATATTTTTATAGAGGAGAATCTTTTGTATGTTACGTAACACGCGCTCAAAACTAATGAACATCATTTTCCACTTTGTTATGACTACAATCGATTTATTTTATACGTTTCTCAAGCGAGAAACAAGCTTAAAAAGTATGTTTAGTGCGCTAATTATCTGTAAGATTATGCTCAACTGAAGAGATTTTAGATGGTACGCCAAAGAGAAAATTATGTCTGAAGTTCAGTAAGTTTTGCTCACATTGCTGTATGAATATGGCGTCAATTTTACAGCATTAATGATATTTGTATTCATTTTAAATCGACAATATTTAAATGTAAGTTTGTATTTCTTAACCGCCAGATATATTTAAAAAGGTTCTTAACTGTGTAAACTACAAAATAAAGGCAAAACAAAGCAATTTTGAGAAGAATGCCAAAAGGATTTTGGTTTTGAAATATTTTCATTGCAAATACGCGACATCGCAAAAATTGATTATAGACATAATTTTGGTTTTCTCTTTCCATTCGAATTTTACCTTTGTCAAATGTTCTTCCTCCAACGCTCCCAAATTCTCAATTTTCTCCCGATGTTTTATGGACTTCGTTAAATCCGGCTAGAAGTAAAATAATGTCATAAATTTGGGATTAACATTAACTTAACTTGAGGTGGCTCCATATAACGCCTACTCTGGGGCGGTAAATCGCCTTAAATCGCTTGCGATATAATGCGATTTTGGGCGATTTTAGGCGATTTAAGGAAAAATGGGACTTTCAAGCACTGCGATTTAATGCGATTTTAGAAAAAAATTTAAATTTTAGGGATTGCAATTTAGGTGTTTTCAAAGGAATTGAATTTTATATTTTGCTCCGGTTTCCTCCCACAAGGCAAAATTGGCAGGTGGGTTAGGATATAAACACAGTAAGAAAAGTAATATCATATTCTCATTGTTGTAAAGATAAAGATAAATAGTCTAGGCTAACATAAGTAATCATAGTACTTGATGTAATCGGTCACTGAAAAGCCCCAATGTGGGGAGTGAGCTAAATAATAATGTAATGTTTCCACACACATATGCATTGTATGAAGCAAAATACAATTATTAGAACATGTATGTACATTTTATATAAAGCTAGGTTAACTAATTATTGTATTTAACCTGATTCACATATAAAGCTCAATATTCATGAACTTTTCACCCATTCTCTATTTAGAAGCCATTGGGGTTCATCTTGTGGGGTCATGTGGTCATTCATGGCTACATTACATACCACAAATATTGTAAATAGTTAATATACTCTAATTAAGGGGCATGCACTACACATGTCTTAAACTTTAATATCATTAATTTATGTCGAGTTAAAATTGCAAAATATAATAAATATTTGATTTCCAAAAAACCCACAAGAGAAACACACAATGTATTTATACAGTAATACAGTATAACTGAATAAGCTATAATCCTATAAATTACCTTGTCACCCTTGTAAGTGCAATTGTTTTGTTTTGTATCATGTCAAAACTTCTTTATTTAGCTTGCATTTTATTTAAACTGTTTCAATCTCGTGCTTTCTTCATGCTACAAACATGTTTTATAAAATTTTTGATATCTACCGGGTGGGGAAAAAAAAGTACGACTGTTTGATTTACTATGACTCAAAAACTAAAAGAGCTATTACACTTAAATAAATCACCCTATATTCCGCGATGTTTAACTTAGATTTTGATATATGTCTGGTGCATTTTCATGCGTTTATGACTGAGATAATTGTGTTTAAACTTACGCAAACATTTTTGGAACCGCCAGTAATTAGCTGAAAAACCCCTATTAAACTAATTCAATAACCGTTACGATTTGTTCGCGATTATTGTTTCAATGAAGTGAAGTGGAAGTTATAGAAATATTTCTTCATTCACAGACATTTTATTTTTTGTTTTACGATGTTGGGCAATGGATGTGAACTTATAAGGCCGATTTTATTAAACGTTTTGTTCTTAGAAGGTATCCAATACCCGTGGGATAGGTAGTCTGTATGTTCTAATGAGTCTAGAACGAGCTGTCCCATTTCACGGGCAAGATGTTGCAATTGTGCCGGGGGACATGAATTTGCTGATGAATAGGTGATTGCTTTTGAAAAACAAGCGTTAACGTACTGACTATAGAGTATAACGCGTCTTAACACAAGTTGTTTTTGTATATAAAGGTATTAATATTTAATAGGCCGTTTTTAGCTTAATTCTCTCAGTTTCAAAAATGTTACTCTTGTTCAAATGCACGTATCTTTGTCAATATGGCATGGAAATGTGCATGGCATATATCAAAATTTTAAGTTAGACATCGCTGAATGCCAATAAACGTGTTTTATTGTCATTGCTCTTTTAGTTCTGATGCTATACCAATTCAAAGAGCCGTACTTTTTTTCCCCACCCGGTATATCATATCCCAGTGCCATATCCAGAAACAGTATCGTCACGCATTCGGAAACTGTCGGCGTAATGCCGTAATGTTTAAATTACATGAAGTATATCGTATATAAATGGTAGGAATTCTAATTTCTAAATTATTTTAAATTAAAAACAAAATAATACAGTATAAAACAAACGGCGCACTACATCGTGGTTTTAGGTTCTGCAAACAAACAACAACAAAAGATCTATTGTATGGTATGTACGATGTAATCATTGTTTTACTGTTTATTGTATATACAGGTCTGGAAACTTTAATAGATGAGAGTTGCAAATCGCTCATAACCTCACGTATATTTTTCGTTTGATAGCCACTATAATTATAACTAGGAGCTAGAGTATAACCATGCACATGTCGAAGTACAACCATTGTATACAATGCAGTGCTCGATATTACATGCAACAGTGCACGAATTACAGGATGACTTTATTATATAAATCAACACTCGTACTAATTGACTTTCCTATTCTCCTACTGTTGTTCTAATTAACAGCAATTAGGCTTTGAGAAGCCATGTAGATTATAGATTAATTTGTAGCCCAGCCTCCATAGTCCGTATAAATTGTAGCCCAGCCTCCATTTACACCAATAATGAAATTAACTCATTCTGGTAACTAGCTCAATTTTGTTGCTGCATGGTAAGTAGTATAGGGAATGAGGGTTCTAGACCACTTTTTCAGCCCGCGATCTCACCCAACTTCCGGTCAGCGGTTTCCATATTTTTCCCTCAAAAACGCGGGCTCATATTTTTCTAGACCATTTTTCTATTATTTTTGGTATTATTTTTTCTATTATTTTTGGCATTATTTTTTCTATTATTTTTGGCGTTATTTTTTCTATTATTTTTGGCATTATTTTTTCTATTATTTTTCTATTATTTTTCAGCATTATTATTTACAAGAATTATTATCATATGCTAGGGCTCATTTTTCTAGACCATTTTTTATCTATTATTTTTCAGAATTATTTTAATCTTTATTATCATATTTAATTATACTCAAGGGGCCTAGGCTCTTAGGGTCAAACATATTACTTGAATCATCTTTTTTATCTTGTGTGCTCACTCCAATGTTAATATTATTTGATACAGAGAAATTTATATCACCAGACTTCCCAGTTCTACTAGAACTCTTACGACAACCGCAAATCTTACCTAAGCAGGAGAAGCATGACCTCCACCTTGACATCTTATCTTATGATAAACCACATGTTAACTACCTGACCCCGAATATCGGAGTGACCAGCAAAAGGACATATCCATGCTAGCACCAGTGGGCATTGAGTGTCCAGGTTTAACTATAATACACCAGGCTAGCGTGTTATCTACCAACTCAGCCTGGGCTCCTAAATAGAACATACTATTACCCTTGAAAACGTAGCAGGCTGTACTTCCACCGGTAGTTGTGTAAGTTCCATTAAACCAGGTGTGTGACAGTCTTCTTAAGTCAACCGTGGCAAGGGTGATTTCCTTCTTAACCTGTGTAAATTTTCCGTTAGATTGTTTTTCCCATACAGTAGCCCATAGGATTAAAGCTAGGGGTATATTTAGAACAGTTGAAAAACGTGGGTAGTCTGTTTTTATAGTTATTGACTCAAGGTTCAGGTCTGCCATATTATTAATAGGATCTGTTCTCCATGAAGGTGGAATCTGATCGTGACAGTAAGCGTAGTACCTTGTTGCTGCAACTGAAACACCAC